TCTGCATGACTTGCAGCTCTTGTTGTTTTGCTGGATGTCCCTCTTTCTGATGAGCAGCCTCTAACAAAAGCCTTCGAGTCTTCTCCAATGGCATTTTGATCCAAGCTTTAGTGTCCCGTAGTTCTGCAAGCTTCGCTTCGAAGGTTGTATCCGGTTCTTCATCTAACCTCTGGATATCCCGAATACCCATCATGACTGCTCGATTGTAGCCTCGCTCATAGCGCCGGAGATGGCGGCTCAAATGCTTACTTTTGAACACATGCCTTCGCCGGGTATAGATGACGCGTCTCAGTTCCTCGAACAGTTCATTTATGAGTTCCGCGGTTGCATGCCTTTTTGAGTGAAGGGACTTCAGCGCTGATGAAACAGCAGTCTCTATCAGTCCCAGCGCCGCTTCCTGAAGCGCGAGAAGCTCGGTTAGCATCCGTAAACGCACTGATTTCGCGAGCGGTGAATCTTTAACTTCAGGATTCAACAGACGCCTAGCAAACTTCAGGAGGCGACTTGCATGCAGTAGCTGCGCATTATTGTCGCGTTGTTGGGAAACACGCATCAACTCATGTGCTGCATCCATAGCTGTCTGAAGAACGTCCGCCTTTTGTCTGTCGAACTGGTCTTCTAGCAGCGTCGACAGAGCAGCCACTTCTTGGATGCAAAGCCCCAGGAAAAGATCGCCTAGCTTCATAAGAAACGGCGACGGGAGCATAACAGCAACAGACGAGCAATCCTTCGTTACCTGTATCAGCCTTTGNGCAAGCGACCTAAGAGACCCTTTTCCCGAGATGTTTACCGCAGTGAGCTGATGATAACACCGGAGTAGCACAAACGCAGCAGCAAGGGAAGACACGAGGAGCATGGTCTTCAGTTGTATGTTCTGGCCTAGCCGCCAGAACGGATGCTTGGCTGCGACGTGGCGTGAAGGCGCGCTCGCTTGAGCTCCCCATTCCTGCTGCTCTTTGTCTATGCTGTCCAATGACAAAGGGGCGGTGCCCATACTACCACGACGTGCAAATCCACAACCACTCATGGATTTCTGGGTTTGCCCACGTCTAACCGCTGAGCGGTGAGTCTTTCCCTCACAGGATGAACCGTCTTAGATGCAATAAAACGGGATGTCACTTCAAGATCTCACATAAAGGCTATTTCATGTGAGACACGTAAAGATGGGCTCCCCCTGCACTCTGTAGTCGCAGACTGGGCGGCGCACTGAGGCCCCAACAACCGAGCAGACTCTGGACAGATAAGCTTCTAAAAAAGCTACAGACAAATTTGAATGCCGACGTTTACGGAAATACCCTTCGCACTTGCTGCCACACAACGGTACAATGTATCGATGCTCCTCCACTGGCGGCAGCCAATGGTCTGCCCGTACGCCAGAGGACCACTTTTCCTGTGTCTCTGCAAAGACAGGCTTGTTTAGAGAAATTTGTCAACCAAACCAGCAGTCATTGTTTAGACGAGTAGTTTACATTGATTATCTTACTTTCTAGGCAGTTATAAAACATTTCAGCTCATGCAAAGGTTCACTGTGGCGGCCCTGCGGCGCAGCATCACGATAGAATGCCGTTCCTAATTGAAGGAAGTACCAATTTTGGGATTTGCCGACATGTACGAGTTAATAAACTTCAAGGACCACTGCTCCTGAAGTTCTGCGGTAGCTTGGGGTCTGGCCGCACTCCTGCCCAGTAGAGCCTCCTAAACATGCATTCCAAGCAACATGCATTCTCTGCAGAACATGGTTGAGCTTCGTAGTTTATTTTTCAGGGTTGCTGTCCCCTGAAAAGGGCGGGCTGCAACTGTAACATGGCATAGAACATGGTACACCCAGTCCGTGGACGCGTGTCTACGGCCGTGCAGGCGATCGGCTGTCGAGGGTCGGTTGCATGCTTGACACTTGTCCGCAGTGTTATTGACGCATCAAAAGCGGGATTGGATATGTTGGCATCCAGAGCTGCTGGAAGAGTTGCAGCGAAGCGCGCTGAAAATCATAGCAGGGAGCCTTCTGTTACGAGGCACAGGCGCTCGTGCCGCTGTTGTGCCAAGAGCCCCTATATACTAAAGGCACGGGCAGACCGTTTTTTTGAGGGTTTGTCGCAGCTATTTCTACTCGTGTACAGCCGGACACGATCTTCCAGCACGGTTGATGGCTGTCTTTACACGGCGTGTTGCCTGTTGCAGTTTGCAACTCCAACAGGTGTTGCAAGGCCGCCCCACATCCAAGCATACCGGAGCCCCGCTTTCTATGCGAACACAAACAGCTATGACAACTTCTAAACGCTTACTTGCCTTGTTGTATCCAGCAGACACACAAGTGGAAATACGTTCACCGACTCCAAGCAACCCATGCTACAGAAAC